TATATATATATATATATAAGCATAAAAGATGTTGAAATGATTAGTGAAGAATAGGTATATAATTCAAACAACACTAATAAGAATATGTGAAAAATGGTGATTCATGATGGCGATACCAATGGAGAAGAGATAAGGCTGATGATGATGGGGGAAGATCCAATTTGTTTTGCACAATTTCTTATTTCCAAAAACCTATGTTCTCCCATCTATAAATTGAATTTTTGTCAACCTCTATTGCTTCTTGTGCTAGAGAGAATCGAAAGAAAGAGTGAATCAGGCATCCTAGCATGTGATTCGATAGCAATTGATATTGCAGCACCTTGTATTGTAATAGAAAATGCACCGTAGTGAACTTATCGCCATCAGAGTATTCACCTACATATTGGCCAATAAAAATATCATTTTTGTCATCTTTCCTCCCTACTTAACTCATTTGTTTAATACTAATCTGCCAATTTATTTAAATCGATTTCCTAAATTGACACTATCACTAAGGCATGATTTATGTCATATGGCACATGCAAATCTTCTATCAAAAATAACTTTTTTTTTCTTTTTTTAAAGTGATTTAATATGTTTATGCTTAGTTAATGAGACCTTTTTTAATATTATTGTTCTTACAGAGCATTATGATCCAGAATCACACATTGGTCATTTGAAGCGGTTCTCATTCAAGGAGCTTCGCTTAGCCACTAATAATTTCCATTCGAGAAATGTGTTGGGAAAAGGTGGGTATGGAATTGTATACAAAGGATATCTGCGTGATGGAACCGTCATTGCAGTTAAAAGACTGAAAGACTATAATGCTGTTGGTGGTGAAATCCAATTTCAAACTGAAGTTGAAATGATCAGCTTAGCTCTCCATCGCAATCTCCTTAGGCTTTATGGATCATGTGCAACTGAACATGAGAGATTGCTTGTCTACCCTTTTATGCCCAATGGAAGTGTTGCTTCTAAATTAAGAGGTTTGTTCATTTTCTGTCTCGTTGTAATCTTCCAACTATTTTACCTTTTACATTTCAACAATCCAAATCTTTCACATCACATGAAAAATACCACTTTCTTAACTATTAAACAGGGAAATGCACCTTTTTCATGCATAGCAAAGGCGGTATATATGTAAAATTGAGGTTTTGGTGTTAGATATGTAAAGAAATAGGAATTTAGTATGTATGTAAATCTTCTAACTTTTGTGTGTGACACCACAACTGAATTCATACTAATTTAAGGCACGCGTGCTCTTAACAATACATAAAAAATGCAGCTAAACTTGCATGGAATCATTTCTCACCATAGAAATCTCCATCATCATTCTCATCCTTGCAGAACATATTCATGGAAGGCCAATCTTAGACTGGTCAAGAAGGAAAAGAATAGCGCTGGGAACTGCAAGAGGATTGCTCTATTTGCATGAGCAATGTGACCCTAAAATAATTCACCGCGACGTAAAAGCGGCCAACATTCTTCTCGATGAGGATTTCGAGGCGATCGTCGGCGACTTCGGGCTGGCTAAGCTTCTCGATCACCAGGAGTCGCACGTTACCACGGCGGTGCGAGGCACCGTCGGTCACATAGCTCCCGAATACTTGTCTACAGGCCAATCATCAGAAAAAACCGATGTATTCGGCTTCGGCATTCTGCTTCTCGAATTGATTACTGGACTAAAAGCCATAGAATTTGGACGAGCGGGAGCTCAGAAAGGAGTGATGCTTCATTGGGTAAGCTTTTTCTCTCGAGATTCAGAACCTTTAGGGTTTAAGGTTAGGGTTAGGGTTAGGGTTAGGGTTTTATGAATCTGAGGAGGTTTCTGTATGGCTTCAGGTGAAGAAACTCCAGCAGGAGAAACTACTGAGCATGATGGTGGACAAGGATTTGAGGAACAATTATGACGAGGTTGAGCTTGAGGAGATGGTTCAGGTGGCTCTGCTTTGCACGCAAAGCCAACCGGTCCACCGGCCGAAGATGTCGGAGGTAGTGCGGATGCTTGAAGGGGATGGACTTGCTGAGAGATGGGAGGCTTCGCAGAAGCTCGACACACCGAAGTTTCGCTCCGGCGAACAACCGGAGCCGAAGTACATGAACATGAGCTTTGTGGAGTCATCGTCGGTTGACATCGAAGCTATCGAGCTCTCGGGTCCGAGATGACGATTGTATAGGGTTTTATAGCTTTTAGTTATATACATTTTGGCTACGTGGCACCCCCTCATTGGAGTACTGATGCATCAGTACTCCTGAGGTAATATTTTTTCGGAGATTTGATGCTCTGGTTGCTCCCGTTTGGTAGCAGAAAAATTACAGCCTTAGGGCAGAGAGGTTATTCAGAATATATTGAGGGTTATGTCTGCATTATACCCCTGTAACTTCTTATAAACTATTTATAACCTACAAATATATGAAAATAGAAGCGTGGAACTCACTAAAAAGTACAAATAGATTATATGGAGATTACAGGGGTATAACACAGATATAATCCTTCAATACCTTCTGAATAACCTCTCTGATGTACGCAATGCTGCATATGTCTTACGTACGCAAATTTTTCTCATTTGGTGGGGGAAGATTATAGGAACTGCTGCCTTGTATAAAAGGAATGTGATAAGGAATGAATTTTGACAATTAGCTGATGGCTCTGAAATCATCATGTTTTTTTTTTTATTATTTATTTATTTATTTATTTATTTATTTGCTAGTGTAGAACTTCGATCTTAGAAGAAAGGAGATGGCATGTTTTCTTTGAATACTGTGAATTTCATATTTCTCACTATAATAATTAATGTTATGTATTTTTTTGGAATATTATAATACTTTTTCTTTTGTATTTATTATTATATTAAAACAAAAGGATAAAAAATGAAGAAGAGTTTCAAATTGTCATAAGTAGCATTCACTATCAACAATACTAATTAAAAAGATTGAAAGAGCGGACGAGATGGTGGCTCGTTGGTTAAGCATTTCCTCCTGCATCGAAAGGTTAAGCTCAGTTTCTCTTTGAACTATTTTCTATTGATATCAAATGTGAAAAAAAAAAAAGATGGGGTGATATGGCTCATTGAGAAAGGCATCATGACATCAATAACATGCAACAAAACTCATAGCTCCAAATAATGTAAAATTTATGAAATGATTGACATAATAAACTTACTACTATATTTATATACAAAATATTTTTGATATGAGGGGAGATACATGAAACAATCACAAAGCCATCAATAACCTTCTCTCAAACAGAAGCAATATGGCATTTCATGAGGAGGCTGTCCCATGATATTCAACTTTAATGGATAATTAGGTTATAATTTTTTTGCCTTTTCAAACTTCTAAGAAATTGGATTCAAGTGGGATTCAAGTGACAATTTGTGTAATCATCTAATTATAAGCTAGGTTCACATGTAAACATATTGTGGTAGATAATGAAAAGGACCGACATAAAAGTAAGCCATCTAATATTGTACTTTTCGACTACCCAAGCTACTTTTTAGTTGAGAACCGATATGTCTTTGTGTTAGTTTGCATAAATGGAGCAATTTTGTTCACAAAATAGGTTATATTTGGCGGGTAAGAGATGAATATTACATGTGTGTAATAAGAATGCAGAGCAAACCAAACATCATGAAGTGCAAGGGGTTAGGAAAAGTTGATCGTCATAAGAACTTCATTTGTGCCTTGCAAACGCTCGAGGAGAACACAAATAAATATGTTCATATTAAGAAAAAAAACTTAAAACAATATGAAGGACTTCAATGCCTACAAAAAATAAACATTATCAAAGCCTTTAAGAGAAACACCATTAGCTACAAGGGCATTTACATACATACCAGACAATCTCAGGTATTTACAAACCTAAAAAATTCATATTTTCATGAATACCACTCAAATCTTTAGTATCAAATCAAAAATATCACCACATTTATCTTTTTAAAAATAAAATTCACGTTTTTCATGCATAGTATGTGCAGAATTTTTGGCTTGAATTTTGTGGGTTCTGGTTATCTTATAAGAAAATTATGAACACGTGGGTTGAAGCTTTAGAATAAAATTATGAGCATACAATTGAGGCTTAGAAGGAAATTGTGAGCACATGAATTGAAGCTTTAAAAAGAAACTGTAAGCATGTGCTTGAAGGTTTCTACTATTTGATCAAACTTATAATAGTCTTTGGATTACAATTTGTATGCTTGTTGTTTATTGACTTGTTTTAACTAATTCTTTAATAGGGTCTTTGTTAAAGACTATAAAAACCTCATTTATTTTGTACAAATCAACTGACTTTTCTCTTGCTTTAGTTTTATATTAGCTGAAACTCTCAACTTGTAACTTAATATTTCATATAGTGAATTCTCCATTTCTCCCCATTGTTTTTTTTTTTTTTTCAATTTGGGTTTTCCGCATAAAATATGTGTTCATTCTTTTGTTTATTTCATTATTTCTTCTATTGATTCGATATCAAGTTATAACAAGTGATATCAGAGTCAAGTTCTTATCTCGACAATAACTTTATTGAAGTATGGCATCCCTCTTTTAAATTTCAAAGCCATTTTTTTTCCTTCGTCAAGTTAAGATGCTAGTTGTTTTAGCATAGATGGATTTAGATGTGCACAGTTTGGATTCAAAAAGATGTCGTCATCATGGATGCTAAAGGAGAATTAATATAAATGTTGAAAGACTCTTTTTCAAATTTAACTTTATATATCAAATCAAGTTTTGCAGGATAATTTGAAGGAGAAGATCGTTGCTGCATTATTAGGGTTGTCAAAAAAGCTTGTTATTTGGCTTATTAAGTAGTTTGTGTTCGAATCCTTCATTAAGTAAACAAGCTAAACATGAACAACATTTTGTTCAATCGTAATAGACTCATTTTACCTCGAAATAAAAAAAATTATAAATATTATTTATATAATAATATATTATTTATATAATAATATATTATATATATTTATATCTAAGTTTAAATCATAATATGGCGTATGGTTATGTCATTTTGCGCATTTTATTGCACATAATTGTACAGGTTTGAAACCAACGTCATATATCTATTTTTTCTAATTAATTTAAACTAGCTAATTTCGAGCCAAATGCGACCTGAGCACGAGCCAAGCCTGAGCTCGCTCAAGCTAGGCTCGTTTACAACCTTATGCATTATGACTCAAATTAGCTGCATGAAAAAAAGTCTGACCAATAAGTTGAACTTGAAGCAGTGTTTTCATTTTCACAGGATGACAGAAGGCTCATCTGTTATAGACACTTAAGGAAATCGTCTCTGGTTTAGAAGCCATGAAAGTTAAGTATAACCATGAAAATTTGTCATTAATTTTATTGTGTTTGTTGCCTTCATCATATAAAATATTTAGAAGTACCATTTTGTATAGGCAAATGGCACTTACTCTAAGCAAAGTTTATGATGCTCTATTTTTTTTAGAAGAAAATGAAGCAGTGTATTGATGAGCATGTCACTCAAGAAAAAGGCATTATCGCTGGAGGTAGAATTCAAAAGAAGAGTTTTGTTGTTGATACAAAGAATATCTCAAAATCTAGAAATAAAGATAAATCTACCATTACTGTAAAAAAAGTACATCAAAATTGAATATTAAAAACAGCATAATGAAAATAAAAAAATAATTTCTAGTTAGAAAGACAAACAATCAGAACATTTTGGTGAAGTTAGTGTTGTTGAACAAGTTGTCAGTGAATGTGAGTTACCAGTGATCTTTCATGGAGAATCTTATGATGACCGGGTTCTTGATTCAGCATGCATGTTTCATAAGTGTCTTAATAGGGATTGATTTTCAACATAAGAATAAGCAATAATGCTCCCTGCAAGATAATCGACGTTGGTATTATTAAAATTACAGTCCATTTGGTGCCATGTTTTTTGCGCATCATGACGTGAAAAAACACATTGGTACATTTGGAAAATGTGTTGCAGCCAGCATTTCCTTGTTACAAAATTACCCCCCGCCCCCGTGGATCTTTTGCTCCTCTTGTGGCTTGCTGTTATTTCTGGTTGGCTATTATTGGTTGTGAGTGGTTGTTCCCTTACATTATTCTGCCTCTCACCTCTTTTCTTCCGCTCAATTTTTTGTGGTTTTGTGCACTCTGTGCTCTGTGTGGTGGATCACTTTCTTCTGTTGGTGGTTATTGCAATGAGGATTGTATTCTCTCTTCCCCTCTCCCTTCTCTTTTTCAGCTCGGTTTGGTGGTTGTGAGCATGACTAGCTCTCTGTTGTATTCTCTCTTCTACCTCTCTTCTCTGCTCTTCACCTCCTGCAATTTCTCTCTTCTTTGTGTGGTTGTGTGCATTATGTTGGTTGGTTTCCTCTTTTAGGTTTCTTTGTTTGCTCAGTTTGGTGGTTTTTAGTTTGATATGCTTAGTTTGGTGGTTTTGAAGTTTCATGTTGCATCCATAATGGTTTTGGTTTATGCTTTCAACGCCCGTTGTGAATTGTGATTTGACAATGTTGCTTGGATTGGTGCTTTGCGGTGATTTTGGATTTTTGGTACCTTTGCTCTTAGCAATGCTTCGGGCGCCCTGTACATGGCCTGTTTGATTTCTTTTGGTTTGTTAAACTTTGATATTTCGATGGGGAATTTGAAAATTAGATGAAATTTGGAGTTGAATTTGTTGATAGCATTATTTTGGGTGTTGTGTATTTGTTGAATATGGGCTAAAAACATGAGTTTTGAATTTCAGTGGGAATTTTATGCTGGAATTGTCTATTGTTATTTAAGTGAGAATTTGATGTTGGATTTTCATATGCTATTTTAATTTTAGTGGGGAATTTAAAAATCAAATGAAATTTGGTGATAGTTTTATTAATAGCAATATTTCTGGTGATGTGCATGTGTTGAATATAGGTTGGAAACATGAATTCGAATATTCCAATTGGAATTTGAAAAATGGATGAAAGTTACTTCTGAATTTTTTAATAGCAATATTTTGGGTGTTGTGTATGTGTTGAATTTGGGTTGGGATTTTAACATGAATTTGAATACTTCAGTGATAATTTGTAAAATAGATAAAAGGTGTTGTTAAGTTTGTTAATAATAATATTTTCAGTGTTGTGTGGAGATGTGTGGTTCTGTTTGTGTAGAGGTGATGCTGGTGATGTGGAGTATGTGTGGTCTCTAGTAGAGGTTTTGGTATCTATGTGGAGGTTGTGGTGTGTGGTGAAGGTGTTGGTGCATGTGTTAGTATCTGTGTGGTGTATGGTGGTCTGATTTTTGTGTTTCTGTGAGGAGGTGGTGGCGTAGTGGATGAGTTGGTGTCTATGTGTTACTGTGATGAGGTGGTGGTGTGGTGGATGAGTTGGAGTCTTGATATGCCAGTGTGTTTGGTTTCTAAGGAGGTGGTGCTGGTGGTGCAGTGAATAAGTTGGTGTCTTGATGATGTGGTGTCTGTGTGTTACTGTGAACAGGTGTTGACGTAGTGGATGAGTTTGTGTCTGTGTGTTACTTGGTTGTGTGGTGGATGAGTTGGGGTCTTGATGTGTCAGTGTGGTTGGTGTTTGAGGAGGTGGTGGTGTGTGTGTGGTTTTGTTTGTGTAGAGGTGGTGTTGGTGGTGTTGAGGTGTGTGGTTTTGTTTATGTAGAGGTGGTGTCGGTGGTGTGAAGTTTGTGTGCTATC